TCGGTGGTTCAATCGGTTGATCCGTGAATCGCTCATTACACCAAATCAACAAAAAAACCCGGATTTTAAAACATTGCTTGGAATCATGGATACTATCATCGATCCTAACATTAGAATTTAGTGGCAGATCACTATTGCCAGATTGCTTTAAGCACTCCATAATAGCTGGTAAACTAAACCAAAATACGATTAAACGAAAACCACCAATACTCATACTTTAAAGACTTTAAGACATGTGCATTATACTCTATAATTAGGCGCGTTAAAATTATAGTATTATTTCTAAAACTCTAATCACTCGATCAATTAATACCTGAACAAATTAACATTATGATGCAATAGTACAATCATCCAAGCTTCATACATGGAAAGGTTGTTTAACAATCGGTTAATACAATTTTTTTCCAACAAATTACTGCTAAGAAATACTTACATGACAACTTGTATGCTACAAGTTGAAGGAAGCCAAAAATCAATAAATCCATAGTTAAAGGGTTTCCTAAAATTATTCCGTAATTTAATATAAAATTTTCCTTTGTTATAATTCAAACTAATGGATCCACTAGTATTATGAATCAACTCAAAGTTGAATAAAATGTTTTAAAATGCCACGGATTCATATTATCGTCACATTTCATATTACATGACACTAATATATATTAGACAAAAACTTTGGTTATTAAAAAGATAAATTTGGTGAAAAACCTACATATGTACTCCAATAATAGGTCACCAACCAAAACTAATCAGATTGTAAATATTTCTCCGTAATGATTATTAATCTATAGCTCCTCTTATAAAAAAAATCATTAGACGGCTAGGAACGGGCAACGACAAGTGTCGTTATTCTGACGTGGCCTCCCAAACATGGTGTTATAACGCCTGAAACACCGCGCCCGCGTGGCGTTTTTACGCGTTATGTTACAACGCATTATTGTGGTAATGCTTGAAAACGGCCATTTTCCGACGCAAATACACCTCTCCAACGTATACATCCATCTTATTTCTTTATTTCATATCAAACCATATTTCAAATCTTCAAAAAAATTATCTTTTGAATACTATGTATCAAAACCCCAACACTCCTCCAAACATAAATACACATCCACCTCTCAGTTTTGCACAATATGAAATGTATGCGAACATCCTCAACACCCAAGGCGACTTTTTCAATCCCGCCTCATCCCTTCCACAAAACCTTTTCAACCCATTTGCTACAATGCAACAAAATACCACACAACCACAACCCACCTAACAAACTGTACCCGAGACGCAAGCGGGGGGGGGGGGGGGGGGAGCGACAAAAAAAAACGGCCCAAAAAGGGAGATCACAAAGGGAAGGCGGCTGCGATGGAGCAATCGGAAGACGAATCTCCAACATGGCGGAGCGCGAAGGAGGAGTACGCATTGGCGATGGTTTGGTGCGGGACATCAAAATATCCAACGCAACGAAATGACATACGAAGAGTTGCTTTTGGGGAAGCTGTGATCGGGAAATTTGTAGCCTTTGTTGGGAAGTTTAGGGTTTGTGGTGGAGATCTGGATACCAAATTGGATCATGATATCACTTTCTGAACCGATATTTCTACCTTATGCATGGGTTACAAGAAATTCAGCCTAGGATAATCCAAGTGGACACTTACCTTTCTAGGCACAAAAAACGTAAGTCAATATGCTAGAGGATTCTGTGAAAGTATGATGAAAACGAGAGCTTAAGATCGTAACCCTCTTCTGGAGAGGAATAGTTTTTTTATATATTAAACACGATTAGGGTTTCATTAGGGTTGGGCCGTCATTAGTTTCTTTGGAAACAAGTAATGTCAATCTGGATTTAATGAGGATTTAGGGTTACCAAAAACTAACGAGTTTCGTTAGTTTTACCATAATCACCCTCAAGAAATTGAATTTTCCATTGTGTTCCCATATGTAAAATTCGGTGAGGTTTTTCCAGCCAGGGGCTCTGCCCCTTGGACCTCGCTAGGGGCGCTGCCCCTACACCCTGGCAAAGGGGCACTGCTCCTTTGGAAACCCCGGACCCCCGACTAGTCGTCGAACCGGCTTCTGACTCGATCTTATGCATGTGTGCACTCCACACAATCTAATACATATATTAGAGTACAAATCATGAAGCCCCCTTAGCTCACATGTTGGTTCTAGTTACTTAAAATGACATGATGACACTAAAATCACCAACAACCTTTTGAATAAAGATGAAAAGCACCGCAATCACGACATGTTGAGTAGCAAATGGACTCAAATAAGCAATAAATGTATCAAGTTCAATTCCGTCTACAACAAACTTTCCTCGCACAAGCAAAGTGGTGCGAACGATTTTGATGTTTATAGAGCAACGATGGAGCAATATCATGTTTTTTTGTATGAAAAAAATTGGAAGATTGTGAAGGAAGACCCAAAGTGGAATAAAATGGACACGTTTACGGAACAACAATAGAAGAGGTCGCGTGGCTCGGGTTCGATCGATGTTTCGGACACACACACGAACATCGACCTCAATGCGGACACGGATGAGATACCGGATGACTTGAACGACCTTGAAGAGATCTCCCCGCCTCGACGACTGATAGGCTGCGACAAAGCGAGGTGTGCTCAACGGCACGCAGATGAAGCCAAAAGTAGATGACGAGAGCAAGCCGAAATGAAACAAAATTTTGACGAGCACAACGAAACCGCACGTAAAAAAACATGAGTTGCAACGGGATCATTTTGAGTTCCTGCGTCGTGACGCAGAGGACGATTGTATTGCGAAAGATTTGATAATTCTTCAAACTAGTGATGATAATTTGTCATCGAAACGGTTGGAGACACTCCGAAAAATGAAGACGAAGATTGAGCAGAAATATTTAGACAACGATTAGTGTTTTTTTATTCATAGTAATGTTTTTTTTTTCAATGTTTTTCTTTCGGTCAAAGTTTTTTTTCCTTGTGATGTCGTTTTATGTTTTTTTCGTTGTAATGTAGTTTTTAATTAGTATTCATTTTAATTATGTGTTATTTAATTTATATGTTTTTTTAAAATTTATTATGACATAAATTAAAAAAATAAAACAAAATAGAAAATGGGAATTACAAACATAAAAAAAAAAAAAAAGAGAATGATATGTGTTATTACATGTTACTTGGTGTTGCTCATTTCCACCTTAGATGTTATAACATCAAAAATATGAGTAAGCTGATGAGATGAACACTTTAGATATGATAACATGTTGCCCACACCGAATAACCTTAGATAATTCACAATAACATGTATTTCTAATCTAATCAATCACAAAAAATTATAGTTTTATTAATCGCAAGTTGAGCAATATATTAAAAAAATCAAGCATTTTTAATTTTTTATGCTAATTGTTGAAACCAACTTTGCTAATTTTTATATTGAAACACATAAAAAACAATTTATTAAAAATATATCCTATACGAATAACTTGAAAATAAAATTTAGATATAAAAAGAAGTTAATCTGAGCCATTGATTTTCATCCTTTGCACAGCCGGGGTTGCTCAGAACCACCACATCTCCGACTCCTGTCTTTTACCCCCGTCGGGCGACGTCACACTTTCTCCCAATAAAGATTTCGCCCTTTCTCCCAAAATTCTCTCAATCTACACCTTTTTAGAGACAGGAGAAGTGTTATCTAGAGAGAAACTCAAGGCAAAATAATCATGGCTGAGCATTCAGATGATTTAGACCAACTTCTAGATAGTAAGTTCACTCTTCTCTCCCCCAATTTCGTTTGTGTTATGTGGTTTTTGTTTGACCAATTTGAAATCGCTCAAGTAATCGAGGTTTATAACTGACGCTGAAATGATTCTATTTGTTCATATGTAATTAGGCGCTTTGGATGATTTCCAGACCCTAAATCTTGCGTCTTCTTCTTCTCAGAGGTTCGTAACAATTCCTAACTCTTGAGTCTTGATTAAAATCATCGAGATTAGAAGTGAATTTGATAAATCGAATAGAACTTCAATTGCTTAGGTTGGCCTTTTCTGGTAAAACCTAAGTACCTTACATATTCAATACAGATATGGGATAACAAAATCATAACAATCTCTATTTCTAGTTAAGTTGTTGCTTATCATTCAATTTTCAACCAATTTTCAGTATAAGATTATGGTTTGTGACATAGCAGTAGTTATGACTTATGAAACACTCATAACATTGATTTGGTTCACAAGATTTACTATTTCAAAACATATATTACGAATGGTTCACATTTCGAATCATCATACTTGTTCATTTGTGGCAATAAGAAAGATTTTGGACAAATTGTGCATTGCACTTACCTCAAAACTACGTAGTTTTTATTGGTTCTGAACCAATTGAAGCTTTTCCATGTGGTTTGAGCTATAACACTTTGTTTTTCTTTGGGTGTTAAAAGGAAGGATGATGAAGGGAACAAAGGAGAGGCATCTCTAATGCCACGTGGGGTTCAAGGATTAGGGATGGGTTTACCTGATTTAAGAAGTAAGAACAAAGGAAAGCAAAAAGTGTCACCAAAAGTGTCGCATGCTTCTGAGACTCTTGATAAGTTGAGAGAACAAACTAGGGAAACTGTTAAGGGTTTGGAATCTATTGCGGGTTTGAAATCGGGTCCCATTGATGGTTTGGGAGATGATAAAATGATGGAGGATTTGGTCAAACAGTTTGAAGAACTTGCTAAAGGCCAGGTACTTTTTATGATCTTCAATAGTTTGATTATATGCTTAATATTATATTTAATTATTAGTCACTAAATATTGTTTTCTTGTTGTGAAGGACATGGAGTCTTTAGTAGAAACAATGATGCAGCAACTTTTGTCTAAAGAAGTTCTTCATGAACCCATGAAAGAAATTGGAGAAAGATACCCAAAATGGCTACAAGACAATAAATCCAAATTAAGCAAAGAAGAATATGATCGATATTTTCATCAACATGAGCTTATAAAAGAGTTAAATATTGTTTATGACACTGAGCCTAATAATTTCAACAAGA